GACATTAGGAAAAATTTCTTCACAGAAAGGGTTGTCAGGCATTGGAACAGGCTGCCCAGAGAAGTGGTTGAGTCCCCATCCCTGGAGGTATTTAAAAGACGTGTAGATGTGGTGCTTAGGGACATGGTTTAGTGGGGGACTTGGCAGTGCTAGGTTAACAGTTGGACTTGATGATCTTAAGGGTCTTTTCCAACCTAAATGATTCTATGATTCTATGATTTGTGGAGCTAACTGGGTCTGGTAGGCACCTGTTTTATATTGGGTTTTGGCACACAGGCCCAATGCATCATATTGCCCATCTGCCAGTACTTACCTAATAAAATAGTATGGAAAATTAATGGAAATTTGGTTAAGAACAAGAGACAAAGATTAGAGATAGGAGGTGGGTACCTTTTTGACATACCTATTCAGGAGTTGCCTAAAAGTGAAACAGCCAGTAGAGTAACACACTGCAATGCAGCACATGCCTTTTGAAAGGAATATACTCACTGTTTCTGCATCTACAAAAAGGGTGGGACATTCTGAACATGATGTTAACATCTGAGAAGACCTCACAAACTTGGAGCCTATTCCTCGCAGGTTGTCTCCCAAGTAACTAGCTGCATCACAGGTTAGGAAGCAGAATCTTTTCTGAATATTCTGTAAAGCAAAATACAGTTTATCACATGTTTTACTCAAGTACAAGCTGCTTTCCTTTGTAAACAAATGCATGCTTTTTTTTTCTTTGCACAATAACACGTGCAAGAGACCAACTCCCCCTGGAGAACTGAAAGTCTGCTCAAGGATACTGAATAACAGTTATGCTGGAGACAGTGTACAGCTGGGCAGCTGTGAAACTAATTACAGAATTCATAATAGTCTACTACTGAAATACATTCCTTCTTGTAAAGATGATTCAATCTTCATAAAGCCTTTTACCCACAAGTAGCTTTTTTTTCCTTGGCTGTACAGAGTTAACAGAGTTGATCAGCACATTACTTTTTCTGCCCATTCCGGGCATTGTTTTGTTAGTATTCCATGCCAAGTGGCTAATCAGATAATATAATGGACAACCTAATGCCAAACAGCAGCATGGAAAAATCAGAAAAAAACTTTTGTTTTCCCCTGTGGGAAAAACCTTCTTACTAAAACTTTTCTGCTGCTTGGGAGGACTCCAGAAATACTGCATTGCATCCGGGAATTATTGTTCTCAGAAGACTTTTTGGTGTTTTGAGTCCTAAACCAGTCTAGTCTTCCAGAAGCATTCTAGTGCTGATATTTGCTTTTCAGTGACTAATATATAAAGTGAATAATAAATAAAAAGAATATTTTAGTCTTGCGGAAACTGAAATAATGATTTTGATAAATACACAGCAGGTTTCACTGCCAAAATACATCTCGCTAAGGCCAGCTGCTCAGCAGGTGGGAGTAACATGAAAATATTTTTAAAAATAAAAGTACGCAACTTTTTTATATGATTAATTCCATGCTACCATAGGCATTTCTCTGAGGAATGTAGGTTAGGACCTGTATTACCGTAAGCATGCCTCACTGGAGAGAAGTGCTTCCCAAATACCAATCTGGATGACAGACATATAAATAGGCAGTTACTGCTCCTATGCTGGAGCACTGAAGTTAAGTACCTAAAATCAGGTGAGCTGAATTCAAATCCTATTGATAATGGAAGCTGTTGGATTGAATTATTTTCTTTTTTAAAGCTACATAAGCCCTCACATTGTAGGTAGGATATATGCTATCAACAATTTATAAAATAGTTAAAGAGAAACTTCCTCTACAGACCAATTTCATAACTGCTTATTTGTGAATCTCTCTCTAAAGCACCTGAACTGGCCACCTGAACAGAGTTAAGATTGGATAGACCGGTACTTGTCTTGCTATAAGTTTCTACCATCTTACTTCAACACAGAAACAAAGCACTATACACATCACTCAGCACATGGTTCAGATTCTCTGCTGCACTGAGGCTGTAGTAGACGAATTACTCTTACTAAGTACCACCAAATCAGGTAAATTATTATTTTTATGAGCAACTAGCAGAATCATCTGAATCATAGGGCTTGGTGACATGATATCTACTATGATGTCTTCTGAAAAGAAAGATTCAGTCCAAGTCTTAGTGAAACTTTTGCTGACAACTCTTCTGGCAAAGGAAACAGATCTAGATTTGATCCTAACCAACAGAAAAGAGCTAGCTGAGAATGTAAAAGTGGAAGGAAATTTAGAAAGACAGATTATGGAACAGAATGCAAGAGATGTTGGTTGAAAGGGACCTCTAGAGAACACCTGATCCAAACTTCAACTCGAAGTGGGACTATTGCCAACACTGATCAGGTCAGCCGTGGTTTTGTCTGGCTGAGTCTTGAAAGCTCCAAGGTCAGAGCTTCCTCAGGCTCTCTGGGTAACCTGTTTGAGTGCTGCAATGCCCTCCTGGGGAAGAGTAATTGAGTTTATGAATCTGAGGCAGTGAAGGAGACAGATTGCAGAAATAATACAACCAACTTCCAACACATTCAGAATTTGCAGAAAGGAGCCATTAGAAATAACTTCATGGGGAAAGGAGATAATGAGAGGTAGCCATTCCTTTAGGAAAAAAAAGAGGGCAGAAGCACATTCTATACCACTGAAGGATAGGAAATATATTAAGACATACATCTGGCTAAACGAGGTAGCCATTCCTTTAGGAAAAAAAAGAGGGCAGAAGCACGTTCTATACCACTGAAAGATAGGAAATATATTAAGACATACATCTGGCTAAATCACAAATATTTCACTCAGGCAAATACTCATGCAAAAAAGACCAGAAAGGAAACCTGTGTTAAATTACTAACTTGGGTACCAAAGATAGCATGGCAATGTAGGCACAATAATCAGAGAGAGAGATGCCAAATAAACCAGTAAAAGAAAGAGAGAATGTCAAGAAGTAAACTAGAAATAATGAAGAGGACGGTCAAGGAATCATAATGGAGAGAAATAGCTATCAGGTGCTGCTGAAAAGACTGATGTGTTTAATGCCTTCTTTTGCCTTATTGCTCCCAGAAAAGGCATCTGTGTACAGGTAACAATGAGACATCTACGAAAACTCAGGTGAGAACAGATCTTGCTAGTAAGGGCTTGGATATTTTTGTATCTTTGCAGATTAGGAAAATTCACACTATGATAGTTATAATACTGGCTAAAGAGGTCTATGAGCCATAACAAATATCCTTGAGAACTCACAAAACCAGGGTGTCGTAAAAAACTTGAGGAAAGTGCTTATCTCAAAAGAAAAAAAGAGCAAAAGAATTAAACACAAAGTTCAGGAAATGGGGGAACATGTAAGATATGAATAATAGGCAGTACAGATCTGGTCAGAACAAATCATATCGAACTAGTTAATTTTCATGAAAGGTTAAAATTTTCTATTAGGAGGAGAAGCAATTGGTATGTCATGTATTAATTCATTTGCTATCTTAGAAGTAAGGCAGAGAAACCCAGTCTAGAGGTAACTAGGTGTGCAAAACCATATTCAGAAGTTAATTATCAGCAGCTCACTGTCCAACTGGAAAGATAAATTGAGTAGGATTCCCCTGGGGACTCTCTCAGGCACTAAACAAGTCATTAATGAAAATACTGAATAATGGAATATACTTATTAAATGCATGGATGATTGAGCTGCAGGGGCTGTAAGCTCCTTGGAAGCCAGGATCAGAATTCAGACTGATCTCAATAAACTGGAGAAGCGGTGCGGGGAAAAGAAAGAAGGACAACGTTGTACACCCAGGATGAAAAAATCCGCAGAACATATTCAGCATGGAGAATACTCAGGAAGGCAAAATTTTGTAGAACAAGATCTGCGTACTAGATTGGGTTACAAGTGGAAAATAATTAACTGTATCCTACTGTACAGCAGTTAGCAGAGAGAAGTTTTTAAACAGGAATACCTTCTATAAAACAGGTAAACCTCTTCTAGCCAGTGCTGGTAAGAACTTAGGCTGAAGTACAGAACCTGCTCTTGCTTTTCAAGTAATACACAGACTAACTCAAGAGACCCCATAGCAACAGTGAGAAGTTTAGAAAATATGATTTATGGGGAAGGTTGAAAGAACTGAGGTTAAGTAAGAGAAGTTTGGTGTGGGTGAAATCATGGTAATAGTCTTCAAATATAAGCAGCAACTGCAAAGAAGAGTACCACTGTAGATAGACGTCCTGGTTTCGGCTGGGATAGAGTTAATTTTCTTCCTAGTAGCTGCCATAGTGCTGTGTTTTGGATTTAGTATGAGAAGAATGTTGATAACATGCTGATGTTTTAGTTGTTGCTAAGTACTGCTTACGCTAGTCAAGGACTTTTCAGCTTCCCATGCTCTGCCAGGTGCACAAGAAACTGGGAGGGGGCACAGCCAGAATAGTTGATCCAAACTGACCAAAGGGCTATTCCATACCATATGACATCATGCTCAGTATAGAAACTGGGGGGGGTTGGCCGGGGAGCAGCGATCGCTGCTCGGGAACTGTCTGGGTATCAGTCGGTGGGTGGTGAGCAATTGCATTGTGCATCACTTGCTTTGTATATTATTATTGTTATTATCATTATTATATTGTTATTATTATCATTACCATTTTACTTTATTTCAATTATTAAACTGTTCTTATCCCAACCCAGGAGTGTTTCTCACTCTTACTCCTCTGATTCTCTCCCCCATCCCATTGGGGCAGGGGGAGTGAGCGAGCGGCTGCGTGGTGCTTAGTTGCTGGCTGGGTCTAAACCACGACAATAGAGCAAGAAGCCATGGGCATAAAACACAGAAAGAGAAGTTTTCAAGTGATAAGGAGAGTTAAGCTTTGGATTACATTGCCTAGGAACATTGTGAAGTTCCACCTTAGAAAGGTTAAGAACAGTCTAGAGAAAAAAGTTAAAAAACATTTGACCAGAATGAAAGTTATAGTTGATGCTGTACTGGGCAAAATAAGGAACATGAACTCTTCAGGTCCCTTTCCAGCACACACCTACTCACATATTTTAACAGTTCTAGTTTATTTTATGAAAAGAACTTCCTCAAAGCATTTCAGTTATGGCTTCATCAAAAGTTGACCAGTCTACCGTTTAGATTCAAGGATACATACTCTTCCTTTACTGCTTTCTGTTTCAGATATTCATAAAAGCAACAATCAATCTACAGCTAAGAAGATAACAGTCTTGAACAGTGTTTTGAAGTATTGAAATGTGAAACAGTGAGAGACTGCACTTTGGTATCTATGTATAGTACTTCACTAAATACACTTATTTTGCAATTACATGGTTTATCAGTTCTATAATAAGTTATCATCTCAGCTATGTCCTTCTAGGTTCAGATTACAGTGGCTGAAATCTTTGAAGCAAGGCCCGAATTCAGTGTGTATTTTGTGAAATGGGACTACTGTGAATAATAATGCCAACCGTGAGCATATTATAAATAGATATATGCCTGCATGTAGCTGCTGTGCTTTGTGTCAATGTAAATAATAACAAAATATTCTCAGAACGTTTTCTTCTTAACCTCAGATTTCCTCTTCTGGGAAGAGGACTTTTCATAACAAAAGGGCTCGATTGTGGAAACTACTTGCTAGCTCTCAAATCTACTTGTCTTGGAACTGGCTGGTCTGCTGGAAGACATTTGATTTGATGGAATACTAACAGGCAGCCATAAAGATAATCCAGAGATCTCTGAGCTATGACTTGTTTACAGGAGAAGTACTTCAATAATTTCAGGAATTTTAAACAAGTTTAGTGTGTTGTGGGCAAACATCCAAGATACCGTTAACTTGATGCAGACTAACATGTAGGTGCCCTGGAAAATGCACTTCTTTCACTTCACCAAGTATTTAGTTGACAGGCTCCTGCAAACAAGGATTTTGTTTCACAGTTAAATATTTTGGCAGTACTTTGTGTTGCAAGCCTAGCACATACTGGGCTTGTTTCCGAAACTTCCTGTTGGTGAGGGCCAAAAGCCTTTTAAGTTGCGGATGAGCAGCAAAGTTTGATGGTGCAAACACAATACAATTCCAGACAAGCTGGAATCGTATGAAAAAAATCTGGGAAAATAATACTCCTATGTTTTAACCCTGAAGAGGAAAACAAAGCAATTATTACATAAACTAAAAATACGTCTGTGACTCCAGCTAGAAAACTCTGGTTTGTTGATATTATTAACACCTTTTATTTTTTTTTTCCTGTTATTCAGGTTTTGCTGTTATTGAAAATTTTTTGAGACCAGTATTGTATCTTTCTCCTCCAGTATCAACTGAAGAAAATGAGCAGGCTATCTTCTGAATATAGGGCAAGCACAACAGCAAATGTAGTGCCTGCATGCCAGGATTTGGAGTTAAACAGGTACTTTACAGGTAATGTTTAGGTCTTGCATTACACAGTACTATTTATTTAGTTTTCAGAAGTGTGACATTAGTTCCTTTTCACCTCTTCAAAGAGAACAAAAGGACAAATAACTCTTAGAACACTTGAACAGGGCTATAAACCTCTAGGAATGACCTAATGGCAAAAAAGCTGAAATACGCATAGTGAAGAAACACAGGACTAATTTTCAAAGTTGAACTCTCATGCATTCAAGTCAGCACTAGTTTTTTCCTTCCAAATGGTTATTTATCAGTGTTTAAAAGAATGGCTATAAGGCACCCATATTTACAGTGGTGTAATGTTTAAAGGAGGGCACAGTGTGCAGCTAGAGAAGACATGCAACTAACTGCGGTGGAGCACAGAGGAAACAGGATGGAGAAGAGATTCTTATTGTATGATGCTTCTTTCATATAAAGATAGTCTTAAAGATACGAAAAGATCTTGAGATTGTATATTTATTAGCGGGGTACCCATTGCTAATAGAAACTTGTATACTCTGAGATCATGGGTACTTTATCTCTGCATGAAGTTACCTGGCTGTTGTGTACACTGCTGCAGTGTGCTAAACATCCTGCAGCTGCCTCATTCACATAAAGCAGGAGAAACAATTAAAAAAGTTTTTAAAACTAATTACAGGTAAAACCAAACAGTCATTCCTTAGAACAGCTTGTACACTTGACTCCTTTTTTTTCTTATCTTTTTGCAAGGTGCTTATCTTTGCAAGCGTACAGTTTTAGAAAGGAGAAATGTATTTCTAGTCTTCAGACTCAATCTGGAATTTATGTTACATGATGGTAGCTGGATATTTCTATTCAGATGATTAGGTATAGAATATTTAAGAACGTTGACATTTACATGGGCATGGCCAGATTTCAACAGTTTGAAATGAAGGAACAGATTAACAATAGTTTGAGATGAAAAGGCTATTTCCTGTCTCTTGCAGTTATTGTTTCAGGCTGTTTGTAAAGTACTGAAGAAAATATTCTTTAAAGTGAATCCACATTTTATAATGTTATCTCCAAACTTGCAAGTATGAGATACATACTATTTTTATGACAAAACTGGTCCTAGAAGACAGTTCTGCCCAAAAATCTAGTATGGCAATTCTGCAGCATGCAAAATTACAATGGTTATATACCTAGTAGTTCATTACCAGTATTGCTATCAAGAACCATGTTAATAGCCACACACGATCTGAACATTTTGATTTTATATCTTAAACTTATTTTCTCACCTTAAACAGGGAAGAGAACACATGAAATGTATAAACTGCACAGGAACCATCAGAGTCGCACATGAGCTGGTTGATATGACTACGCCAGGCTTCTTCTGCATCATCACATGCTGCTGGCTGAAATGCAGCAAGGATGGCAGAAAAAAATGGGGAGGGAGGAGGGGAAGCATTTCGATCAACATCTCCAAAACTGAAGGAGAAAAAAAAATGAACTGTGATGAAAGGAGAATACCAAGAAGGTGGCAGATAAAATACACTATAACAGACAGTTATAATCACAGGACCAATTATAGCACCTTTCTAAAAATATTCATGAACTTTCAAATTACTTTTGAAGCTGGCAAGATGTTGGCTACAATGAGAAAAACCTCCAAATCAGAATACCGATCTTCTAGGCCATTATCATCTATCTTCCTCCACTGCAGAATACTTGAATTGTTTTATCATTTGGAAGAAGGCGGCTGAAACTTCACAGGAGCACAGAGCCCATGAAGAAAAACTCCTCTTCTAGGAAAACTTGGTTATAATAATGTATAGCAGAAGTACTGAAAAGAATCTCAGCGTGTACAAACATTATATATACTGACCTGTTTGGTTTTCCCCCAATGTAATGGATTGGAGAAGATCCATCCCTTCTCCACACTGTCCTTAGAGCATTATTTTGGCACTCCATGGTCAGTGAAACAGGCTGACTACCATTTCTAAAGGGTACTAAGCTACTTGGTCTTGTGTATTATCCTTGGGGATGGAGAAACACCTCCCGTGGCTCCCAAGAACAGGAACTGTGATTCTGAAACGTGGCACACAGGGAGAGGGCTTCTTTATATATCCTCATTCCTTTCCTTTCCATAAACATGGGCTAATTGCAATCTAACTCAGCATCCAAAATCTGAAAGAGCTCCATAAGGCATGGAAAAATCTTGATGCTTTGTTGCAACATATACTGGGGTCCAGCCACACTCACCAGCAGCCTCAACAGTATGCAGATGGGATTTCTGACAATTTTGTGACTTCCTTATGACACATCAGAAGGATGAATACATGGCTGATCTGTTGAACAGCTAACTAAGCAGTATTTCCATTACTGCAAATCTTTAAAAATCCTTTTTTTTCTTTTAATTAAATATATTACATATTTCATCGCTAACTGCATAGATGTATGTACAAACCATAACTTGTTTTTCCTAGAAGGAAAATCTTGGAGTTTTTTTTGAGTTGGGTGATAATTACACGGGTAAATTAGGGCATTTTCTTCTCACTGCTCTAAACTCATGAGAATTTTATAACTCCTGTGGCCAAAATAGCCATTCCATTAACTAACACCTTGTTACTATTTTGTTACAGACAGAACTTTTATGAATAATAGCATATACAAGTACCTAGCAAGTGCAAATTGTTCCAGCCTGTCAACTTTCTCTTCAGTCTCTGTCATATCCAGACTAAGGCTATCACTGCATTCAAATGCTCCAGGGATTTCATTTGTAGACCCTGAAAGGTCATCCTCATGGACTGCTGTATCTTGTTCTTCATGTACAGCTTCAACCTAGGGGAGTGAATGATGATGTCTTACCAAACAGCAAATTAATAAGTTAATTACACTAACAAATAGAAAGCATTTAATGAAAAAAACCACGTGACAACATGTTAAATTGCACAGGTACAAAGCCACAGATTAAAAATAACACGAATCAAGTTACATTTCTTCAAAAATACTGTATTTGCTTAACTTGCTGGTTTGGATCCATATTATTTTTAAGGCATTTCTTCAACTTAATTTGTCTAGCAAAGGATTTCAGATTTCAACGCATCTGGCACCATAGCAGGAAAGTATTTTTTCAGGAAAAACAATAGGGTTCTTGTTACTGTCAGGCTGTCCTTGCAACTTATCACTTTATAGTGTCCAAGAGTGTATTAAAGCCTCTCAAAACATACTGAAAACAATCACTGTCTGGAAGACTATATGCATGTTTAGAATTAAGAATTATTTTTAGCATGTCATTTACATAATAACTTCCATTCAAGAGGAATCCAAAGCATTCTACAGGCCATTAAAAGGATTATGCTTCTATCGTTTCCTTCCTTTTTCATTCATTGGCACCTAAAGCTCTTGATTTCTTTTTGAAACTTTCCAATTTCTCTTGCATTTTTAGTCTGAACAAATTTTGTTTCAGTTTTAATCTTTTGGCTTTTGTCTGCATCATCCATAGCATCCTGCAAAGCAGTTCCTGTAGGGATGACTGCAGTGGGTGGCTCAAACTCTTTATCTTTTCTGTTTGGGGTATCTCCCTAAGGTGCATGTACATACATGTGTTGGGAGCTGGTAGGGAGGGAAATCCGTGGCAAGTGGAATTACAAGAGAAAAGTGGCCCTCTGCAGGTTACCAGACCTGCTTGGATCCTACATATAAATTCTGGGGATTTGCATTTCTAAAAATTAATCAAGACTTGTATCAGAAAGGACAGGATCAGCAATTAAGTAGGAGAAACTTTTTTGTTTGTTTGTTTTGCTTTCTAAGCGAAAGGGATAGGAATATTGCTGAGTCCAGAGTGGATGAAGTGAATCAGAGCACAAACCATCTTGAAAAGAGAAATGAAAACTATATGGCTGAATTACCAGAATAGGAACCAGAGCAGTTAGCAAGAAGCGTGAATGTTTCATGCTTCTTCAAGAAGTAGTTAGCATTAACCACTTTCAAATATGACACATTAGCTTGAAACAACCATTGGTCTGTTCACTGCAATGACAGTGTTTGTATGAGGAAAACACATTTTGATGGGATAGGGTAAGGGAGGAAGAGAGAGGAAGCAAACACCTCCAGCCCAATGGAGTGCAATACAATGCCCAAAAAGCAAAATAAAAAAGTGGACTCCGAATATTCATGCAGGATTGGAGCATACTTCCAGAAATCGCTGAGTTTCGATAACTTGAAAAATATATAAAATAGCATCATCTGAATCTTTGTATCCCTCATAGCATTATCCATCACTGCCTTCTAATCCCTTATAAATACTACCTTAATTATTGTGATCACTATCTTTAATAGAAAATAAGTGTAACTAATTTCATGCCATTAACAGTAATACCTGAATTTTGGCACTGAAACATTCGAGAAAAGGCCTACTTAATCAGTCTGTTGCTCTCATTCAAATGACTGCATCTATTTACAAGTTGAGGCGGTATTTTTGGTTTTGCTTATGATGCAACAACTAAACATTTTTGTACAGCACTAAAGAAGTAACAAAAATTTTCCTCTGCATTGCTGACATACCATCAGCTCTCTGAAAACAAGAACTCAGAGGAGAAGAGAAACAGGCAAGAGCTCAGATTTTGTGTTATCAAAATAAGGAAAAATTATTTAGGTGCAAGTTTCAAGTTTTCTGACTAAAAATTGGATGACTTCTTCCTTAAAATAAATATAAATCCAGGCATTTTAACTTTGTTTATACAGACTCCAATTCATTTGGAGTAAAAATACTATGCATACTAGTATGCATACTAGAAGAAAATCTTTGAGGAAAAAAAATACTAAGAAAGCATTATGTGCAAAGTTATCAATTCAAACATCTTTGCAACACTGGCAAATCCCTGTCACCTTAGGTTATGTATTTCACCAATATCAAACCTGTCTCAGGACTAGCTGAATTTGCCTGTCAATCCCACAAGAAACTGCTGTGATTTTACATTCTTCACTCATTTACTTTTTCCAAAGCTTTTAATTTTTTGATGAACACTGGTGCATGGGTACTGGGACGTTAAAGTCATTTTCACAGTAAAGATTCTAAAACACCAGGCATATATGAAACCCATGAACTGTGATTTGCAATTCTTAATGTACATACCAATAGCTACTGCAGCTGGATGCATGAGATTAGCCACAGTCACCACCTGCAAACATATCTGTTCTGACTGCAGCTTCCTGAACTGAAATTCTGCCAACTTCTGCTGCTTATGGTTGCTACGTGGTAATGTGTCTACCAACAGTTGTTCTGACAGATGATAATGAGTTTATCTTTTCCACAACCATTCTTTTGAGAGGTTCCCTTCCTTTCCTATCCTTACCCACACATTTCCCTCCTCCTGTCTGTTCTTCCTCTTGGGGAGGTTTCTGACACAACCAATTTGTTCAACATTCAGCACAATTCCAATCTCCTTTTCTATCACCTCTGCACTAGAAGTTTCCAGTGCTTCTGTTAACATGCAGTGCTAGCAGTATTACTGTATGAATTTTTTGTGTGGTTGCATTTGGAGGGAACCAAGGGCAAGAATTGGAATGGAAGCTGATGATTACACAAGACAACTATATTCCTCCCCTGCCCTAATCTGCAGAAGCCACCCAATTCATACATGACGGAGAAAGCTGTACTGGTAAGACAACGGTGTCATAAAGCCACTGACAGCCTCCCCCACAACCCTGGTTATATTTCTGGAGAGACAGTGAGAGAAGCAGGTTCACCTGATCTCCCACAAACAAGTAGTATTAAATAGAAAATTAAAGAAAACGTTCCCACATTGATAATTATTTACCAACCTTACATTATGTTCATCTTCTGATACAATTGCCTGAAATAAACTGTGCTGAACGTGGTTGCTGCATCCTTGCAAATCTTGCCTCCCCCCACGCCAAATGGCTTGTGATCATGAATTTGAAATTTCTGAGTGTCTGCCACAAGGCAAGAACTCAATCCAGTGCACACAACTGTACAATAGATTCCCACATACAAAAAAGTCTCAGAGAATACACGCATACACCCACCACGAGTTGGCATGCCATTCTTTTAAATCAGCATGAAGAACAAAAGAGTATTCCCTTAGGGCTGTAACTTGCAACCAGTTCATGAATTTGTCTTCCAATGAGCTTGTAGTATCTTGGTGCATATGTAGTACGATATACTTAAGAAACAATAAATAAAATCTTTTAATAAAGAAAGTATAAGTACAAAACAAAGGGTATGGATGTGCAGGAGCATGTGAATGTACTGTACTATGCCATTATATACAGAAAGTCAGAAAGTACTTGCTTTCACGGATCAAACCCTCCATGAAAGTGTGGGTAAAATAAACTTGTAAAAGTGTTATGTAAAATACACTGCAGTTGAAAGTAAAAATATATTCACCTTGGATCCTTCAGACACTTGGAGATTATTCATATCAGGCAAAGACACATCAAAGCTAGATGCTCCTATATTAAAATGATGAGGGTCTGCTGAGGTTGTGTCACATGATGTAGAAAGTGAGTCAATATGATTTGTATCCTCAGATGGGGAAAGAGTTATAATCTGTTTGAAAGACAACAAAAGCACAGAAGCACTGAGTATACAGCTACCCTACCACACGCTGCTTTTATGAACAGGCAATGCAGATGTTGTCTTAAAGGGCAGTGATGGTTGCTCTCTGAGTTTGTACATACAGACATACTATAACACTTTCACTGCTTCTGTCATAAAAATTGTATGCAAACATCCCAGAAGTGAACAATGAAAACCTGACACAGTTTACCAAACTGGAGTCTTGTCCTATTTCTTTAAGTATTAGATACATCAGAAAGATTTACTACTGGCCATTTGTGCAAAATTGTCACATAGTAATTTCTGGAAAAAGGGGCAAATACTCATATCTGACACTTCCTGGTTTTCAAACTTTGCATTAAAATTCCTGATTACATTTGTAAATAAGGGGAAATCAAGCAGTGACAAAACACCACACTGAGTGCCACCCTCCAGTTGCAGCTGATTAGATTGCATCTGGGTGAGAGGAAACGAAAAGCCCAGCTTATTTAAAAACTAAATCCTACCTATTCTTAAATCGCAAGTTAGCAACTTACTAGGTCTGAGCTCTCCAAGATTTGGCTGGTGGTCAGGTCCTCCTCCTCCGATGACTCATCGGAGTCCTCATGGTTCATCTTGTTCAGGCTGGGGGTGCTCCCTGAGAGCTGGCTCTCTTCCAGCAGCTGCATGTCACACTTGTCCAGGCTATCCAGGGACCGTCTGCGTACTCCCCAGTTGAAGTTGTCCATGCTCTCACCCTGAAATCAGACAGAGCGGCAGCTTCCTTGATTTGAAACTCACAATATACAAACCACTAATCACTAGATCAAAGTTAGCTCAAGAAATATTTTTATGTAAAAATATAATACAAACTTGATATAAACATTATGTTGTTAAGCAATAATGTAACAGGAGCATTTATAATTTTCCAGCACTTCACCTGGAGGTAAGAGCAGAAGCATGGAAATGACAGTTAATTGAAGATTCATTCTTTTCAGTATTAGATGTTTTTCATGCACTTGCTGATTTAAGAATTTGTTTTTGTAAGTCCACATATACACGCACCTCAATACCAGTAGAGCAGTGACAGGCAAAAAAAAAGTTTGGAAGCAATTTTAAAGGATTTTTCCATGATGTTTAAAAATATTAGGAGCACTGTTCATAGCAATGGTCCAACTGCGAAACATACGTTAAAGATTTTAGATTCCTTGCATTATATACATAACCATAATGATGAGTAGATTTGAATGAACCCTTCATTTACACACAAAATGTAATAGCTAAAGCAGCACACCTTTTAAAACTTTTATTCTAGGCACATATTGCTTATTTTTGTAACTTGAACTTATTTGAAACTATACTTTGAGAATAACCTGGTTAGCATTTCTGAGATTTCACGTTTTAAAAAGGACACAGTCAAGTGAACCAAACATTTTATATTGACTTTCAGTTGATCCCACATGCATTTACATAAAGCTGAGTGCATTAAGCAAATTGTGTAACTATTTGTTAGGCTGGTAAACTGATACAAAGATCACTTAATTTCTTTCATGTATAAAAATGACAGTTAGTTTTCCACTATTTTTCCATTTTTTTACTTTATGTATTTTCCAGTGGACTGTATCCCTTTTCCCTAACTGCGCTAATTCTCTTGCTCCCTTCTTCAATCTAGCTTGGTTCCTCTCCAGCAAATGCAGGAGCATGTCCACAACTGCTCCTGTCACGGACCCGCAGAGGCCAAAGGGGCCTCACACAGCATGAAGGGTCTACCCAGAAGTATCTAGCCGCAGTTTTGGGTACTTTATCTAGGTGAAAACTCTCAACCTTACATCAACATGGGAAGGAAATTTATAAAGCAAAATGTTTCTTTTTGAGGTTCAAGGCTGACTGTTTAAAACAAGACTGTGTAAGATGCAACGCTCTTAAGCAAACCAACTGCTGAAAATTCAAGTTGAAAGTGATCTTTTAAATATGAATTTGACAAAAATATAGCTGTGCCTAAAAAAATCATAAATACTATTTCAAATCACTGATTATGAGTATCTCCTGGGCTTATGTAGAGTAAAATTATGTGCAATCATAGAGAAAGAGGTCTCAGTTCAGTAAGGTCCCTTAAGCAGATTTGTAATTTTAACCACCTGAGTAATCCCCATTCAGGACTACTCAGACACTTACTGAATGGGGACCAAACTGCATAAAGTGCAATTAATTCAACTGCAACCTTACCTCCTTAACAATCAACAAACTTACATGAGCAGGTCTTATTTTGCATCATTGCTCTTTAATGCAATGGACTTTGGAATGTGATTAGAAAGAAGGAAAGTTCAGTTTCATGACACTAAGCTCACCGTTCATGGACAAATATGAGGAAAAAAGAAAAAAATATTTTTTAGGAAAAAGACAATCCAGAAATGCAAGAACTGTAATCCACAAGAACATGTAGAACTAAGGAATGCACTATATGCAAGAGCAAATGAACATGAAATTGTTATGAAGCCCGACACATTATTGGCAGAACCCTTTGTTTTCATCCTGGGTTTTCATCATATGGTAGTTTTGTGCAGGAAGAGAACAGAACACATCTAAGATTTAAGAAATTAGCTCTCTCTAAATCATAAAAATGACTGTTTGGTTCTCAGCTATTTATTTCAACAAATTCTTTCGCTGTCCATCCTCTCCCACAACAGTTGGAGGACACATGCAGCAATGAGACAACCTCCAGAATGCATCAGTTACTGAACTAGCAAATGACAAAATGACATAAATAAGCAAGCAAAGATGACCGTCATCACACCCTGTCCTCATGATGGCTAGTACAGCTATCAGTAAACTTTGCAGCCCATGTCTACGGGAATATTTCTTGTTGCAGTTTTATTCTGCATTGTCTTAAAGAAGGAAGCCAGCAAACAGAAATGAAAAGGGACACTTCTAAGGCATGCGGTGAGAAGGGGGAGTGAATTAAAAGTGAGGGAAAAGGGTAAGAGAGATGAAGTGAAACACAGTATAACCCAAATATCCATAGTATTTGGGTTAACGTAAGCTTGCTGCAGGGGCATCCAGGATCATACTGAATTTAAACAAGAGGTCAACACATGTCTACAAAGATGGAGGAGTTGTTTTTATATTTATTATTTTATATTTATTAAGCAATCTTTCTTTCACAGTTAACAAGCGGGAGGGAAGATGTATTTGAGAAGCTGTTCATTTTTATCTACAGTGGGAGCAAAGCTATCTCGTATCTGAAAAGCCACCAATCACAAACATCAATTCAAAAGAAAACAGTCACATATTATAAGTGTGTCTGGCCAGCAGTGAGCAGGTACCGCATAGGACTTCCCACAATCACCACCCTCTGGTAAAGGAGCGGACGTGCCATTGCAGCCACGTTAAACATTACGACAACCCAGCGGAAAGTAGACACACAGAACGGGCAGTAAAAAGGAAAGTAACCCTATGTGGGGGAGAGCAGCGTAGCTCCTCCATAAAGCTGGTAAGAATCATGCAAAACTTCTTTCACACAAGTTTTTACCTTACTGTATTGACAAAGTATGCAAAGTTAATGGAGTTGCACAAATATTGTAGGGTATAGGCAGAAGTGTTGTGGAACTGCACAGTAAGGCGCTATCTCCACATGTTTGTATCTTTTAGAGCACAGGCATTTTGAGACAAAGATTTTTTGGGGGTTGTGTTTCCATAATAACTGATGTACAAACTATCAGAAACAAATATGCAAAATACTGTTGTTGCTGATTTTTGTATCATTTATACAACTCATTACAATTCTCTATCATTTCAGTTCTCTCTATAGATTGATAAACTGCAAGTTTACATCCCAAACTGGCAACCGCTGATGTGCCTTTTCAGTTTTGTTCATGGGGTAAATGAGTCCCACAAAGTTGGTACGAGTATACAGCTGAATTAAATTGAGCTGTATGAATTAATTTTTCAATTAAATTCAGGCTGGTAGGCAATGATGTAAACTTTCTGAAGAGGTCTCAGGTATTGGCTTTAGCAAGATGCTAACAGGAGCCAATATACCACAACAGAAAAGCTGGAAATTATATCTAATTTGCCTATGGAAACAAATGGCCCAAACTTTACTATATTATAAATAATGAAGTTCTTCTTTTGTTTCTACATATTATTTATGCACAGATACTAAAAGGAGAAATGGCTCAATTTGAAAAATGTTGATACTAGAATTAAGATATTTTAAAATTTGTGAAGACTTGAACACGTCAAAAACAAACTTAAAATGAAGCAGAATTTTTGAAGACTTCAAAAATATTTCTAATACAAGACAAAAAATGAAGCACCTGTCAGAAGTGCAAGCACACGCACACCTACCCACCCACACACACACTGAAGAGAGGGAGGGCAACAACAAAACTATGATGTTATCTATAATACAAGTTTGCAAGAAGGCATAACATATACTGGCACATCTGAGTTCAAGGAGCATTCTTACCTGAAGTTCCTGGGTAGCAGATATAACAGATAGAAAAACAAATAGAAAGAATCTATGTAAAATTACTGTATTAAAGACATCACAGACAAACATTTGCCTACAATTGTAACTAATACTATCACAGAAACTTCAACTCTTCAGCCTATCTTTTAAGTTTGAAAATAACCATTACTTGCTTCCACATCTTCATGAAACTTCAAACAAGTATATCTTGTGGTCTGGGGGTAATACAAGCATCACTGGCCTGTTAAATCATAATGTTTTTTTGGGAAGACTAGTTGTGCTCTTGCTAGCTTAAGTTTTCTAACACTGTTTTATTCATGTTTATGAAATATGAAATTCAGACCTGACGTAAATGATACAGTTTCAACTCAGTCATTAGAGATGTAGCCTCTTACACCAGGTTTTAATTTGGCTAAAGTATCTATTTATTTAAAACAGTAGTAAGTCAGCCTGGACTAAACCTTGGAATGCAAGGTCTCAGATCCATGTCAATTTAAAAACCGTATTAAATAAAAGACTACATTTTTCATTTTACTTCACATAAAACCAGAGAAGCTTAGTATCTGTTCCACAAATGACAATTAGTGTATTGATTTAGGCCTCAGTCTTGAAGTTAGCCAGACATATAAAATAAATCTTTGCAGGGTCACAGTCCATGAAGGTAAACTCATTTTGATAGGAATTGTTCTGCATAATTATATATAATCTATATATGGTTTTAACTGGTGAAGAGAAAGAAGACATTCTTGAATTTCACTGGACAAAAAATTATCATGTGGCATTTAGTCAAAATTGCAGTCCCAAGCCCTTGTAATATCTTGAAAGCATTTAAAACACAGAAATGATTGCAGACAGTATACTTTTTGACAAACAACCTGGCTTTGCTTTTCTATCATTTATGATTGTTTGGAACATTAAAGCTCCTTCATAATATTTGGTCAATGTATTTTCAACCATTGATGCCAACTGCTTTTTTTTTTTAAGCAAAGTCATGGGCAGCTGTGAGCCTAAATTACTACATTTTGATATAGAGAATCCTGACTTGGAAAATAAGGACTCTGCAACATCTCTTTCCATTCCTTCATCCTTTCTCTTCATTGGAAAAAAAAATAAAATTCAGATGCACATAAGTATGCACCTGAGGGGTCTGTTTACCTTAAAACTATTTTACTATTGTAAATCAGCTAGGGAGAAAACTGATTAATTCTTCTTGTACACATGTTCTTCTCAGGGCTACAAGCGATGCCTGAGAGAATTCATGTTAAAACTGAGTCCAGATTATGACAAGACAATTTATTAAACTGTTAGGTTTGCTGAACATCTGCACCTTAAGCACTTCAAAAGAGCTAACAATTTCCGAACTTTTAAACAGCAACAAAATTGTTAGACTTGTTTGGCAATGGATATTAATTTTTGGCCTTTCCCACCCAAATAGAAATAAATACTCCAAGTTTGATATAAGCAAGATTAAAGGGTGTAGCCCCTCAAAATTCAGCAGCTCTTCAACTTTTTCCCTTCAGCAGTTTCAGCTCAAGGTGAGCTGACAGGCTTCACCTGTCAAGACTTGATCTGGGCCCTCAGGGTTCTGTTTAGCTCCTGCATGAAATGATGAAATCACGGACACCTAAGCAGAGTGGAAGGTACTTCTCTCTAAGCGTTAGTGATTTCATCAGCAGTTGCAGCAGTAACAACAGCCCGAAGGCCTGAATTCATGTTTTGGAGGGTTACTCATGAACCAACAGATTTGGAACAGTTTAATTTTATGGGTTTTTAATCAGCAAATATATTCTTGTTAATAATTTAGACCTTTAAAATTGCATTTAAAATAAATTAACTTAAAAGTAATTCACTGAAAAGGTACTAGAACAGAGGCTTTATCTTCCAGTAACAGTTTTTCAGTGTTTCCTAAAGTAGATTCAGAAAGGAAGGGTGTGGTAGCCTCTTACTGTCATGCTACTGAAATGAACGCTAAGTGAACATTATAAATAATCTGAACTCAAAACTAAGTTTATAGTTATACAGTTAAAGTTTTATGTTACAAGAAGAGCATAGTGTTTAGTAGAAAGAATATCAAGCTGTTTTAATAAAAAATCTGTTTCAGAGAAAATATACTGTACCTCCCCATCTTCCAGCTCAACATCTAGGAAATCAAAGTCCCTAAAGACTCTGAATTGTTGTTCACTGTTGGAATCATCCATGTTCTCCTGCTCCCTTGTTCCGTCTTCTGAAGACACCAAGCTCGTCTGGTGCTCAATCAGATCCAAATCACCACAGGAAGAAAAAATTACCTACAATTCAAAGGATTCCGCTTGTAACAAACTGCTCCCTCTGGTTGTTTCTTCCTAAAAGCTGTAATCTGTTATTCAGAAGACTGTATTTCCAGTACACACCTAATTCCTTCACTGAGTATTTTTAGAACACTCTTTATTATTTATGTTGGACAGGTGCCTTCAGATTAAACTTGTACAAAGAAACAACTTCATACTGCAGGAACACGTCCAAGAATATTACAGCTACCTCCTAATGGCTGCAGATTGATGTTGCCTGGATGTTTGTATACATTTATAGGAACAAAATTCAGAGAACTTAGCAAAGAAAATACTGTCAAGGGGATGAGACAGTAAGTTCATAAAAAAATCTCTAGTTAAAAATTATGTTAAAAAACATGTCAAGATTAGAAAACACAACAAGCTATAATGTTTCCTTTCCTACTAAAAATAATTACATCTGCAATTTAATTGTGAAAATTAAACAGTCCCTGTCTTGCAGAAATGAAGGACCTGTTCACCATAATACAAGTGACATATAACATATTAAAAAACAGTCAGAAATTTTTCTTTCTCTGTAGAAAATATTTAATAACTATTTTAAGACCTTCCTATCTTGGATGATCTATTGCCAATTTCCTGGCACCAGATAATATTAATTTTTAAAGAGTAACATCAGAACTACTATCTAATGGAAAAATCAGACACCCCCTACCCCCAGTTTTATTTCTGTAATTTTATTTTTTACTTTATAAAGGCTCTAGATTGCTAATACCAGAGGTCATTACTCTGTACCCACTGAGATGGCATAAGTAAAACCCATAGCATCAGAGATCTCTCATAGCAAAACTATATGTAGCTCTGTAAGTAAATCATCTTTAAGTGAGAGGGCCATTCACTCACTCATTTATATGGTGAGAAATGCAGCATGGGCCAGTACAAACGACAATGATAGTAACGTGACATGAAACTATGCAAATCAGGTCAGCAACTCTGGGAAACAAAGTTCTTCACTTTCAAAGTTTAGGACACAATGAAACAAAGAAATGGTCAATGCAAGGCTACTTACTGAAGGGTTTTTACTCAGCCCAACCTCCTGGCCACATAGAGAAAGGACATGCACCAGCTTTTCCTTTGTCCTTTTCTAGAAAACAAGATGTTTCTCAAGTGAGCGTTTTTTTAACCACCCATTCTCCTGGTGGCTAGAAACATACATTAACAATTTTTAATTAGGAGGAACCAACCAAAGAATTAGTCATTAAGTACTCAAAGGGTTGCTTTCAGAGCAACTATGCATACAAGGAAACATAAAAATAGCTGTTAATTAATTTGGGGTTTTATTATTTTTAAATTAGCCTATTAATTCTATTCAGCATAATAAGGAAACATTGGATCATGTGCATCACTTCAAAAGGACAGTTCAGAAGCTTAAAGTTAAGCACATGCATAATTATTTTTGCAGAATTGGGCGTGAGCCACTGCTATATAATCTGCTATATTTAAAAAAGGGCAATAAATGCATTTATTCTGCATGGTTTTATTTTAACTGGCAGAAAACCAAAATCAATAAGGTAATCAAACATCACTTTTAGGAAAATTGTTCCAAGGAATTCTTTTTACCTGATTTCCCATGAAAACAACACTTAGAAAGTTGCACATGCTGTCTGTCTGCTCTTCTTACTAATTCCTGAACTCACCTGTCATTCTTAGCCAAATCTGACCTAGAGTTAGAGGTCTTAAAGAGATGCATTTCCTACAGGTTGAAAGACAACCACTGGCTGGGCAGAAGAGGGACACAACTCAGTCCATTTCTGAGTCCAAGAAAGACATTCAGCACACACAGTCAGTCAGATGCTGTGCTGCCACTGCCCCAGCCAGCCGGGAGCACTGTGTAGGGGACAGAGGCCACAAGCATTTAAGAACTTAGTGTGTGTTAATTCAGCTGCTAATGAATAGTGGGTTACTTTAAAGGAGTGTACCTGAGAGTACTGGGGTCTCTTCCAGCTCACAGGAACAAGGACATTGGAGTTAGATCCTGATGAGGTTGAAGAAGTGCTTCGGGTGACAGCCATTGCCCTGGGTTTACCATCTCGTCCAGAAGAACTCTGCAGCTCATCATACCGTCTCCCAATAATTGGAGTCTTAAATAGAGAGTAATTATTCACTAGTACTATGGTCCAGGATTAACTTATAGTGGGACATATTACCTCAGCTGCAGGAAAAGATTACTCTGAAGATCATATACAGGGGTAAAACAAGGAGTGCACCGAATTTCATGTCACTTGGTATGTATGTTATTTTCCATGGTGAACGTCTCAGTAAGGTATGTATGTTATTTTCCATGGTGAACGTCTCAGTAACTATTGCCATACCTAGTAGCTAGTGCTTATGGTCATGAATAGGTAATACTCAAAGCAACTGTCAAACTAGTTTCTAGCATAACAAGCAGCAAAAACCCCAGAAAGTTTATGAAATTTATTTCAAATCCACATTTCTTGCACGTTCTTTAATGTGTTTTTCCTAAGAGTGCTGAGCACTCTGGCCCTATTCCAACACACAGCAAAATGCTTTCTTGGATTGATGATAGGATGCTCAGGATTTTCTAGAACTCTACCTACATGAAACAACAAGAAGAAACTCTTTATACAAATAGTACAAGATGCCTTTTTATATTCATATTTCCTTTTAAACCAAAGTCTCACTATTATCTATATGAAAAAGTCTATAATGCTGCAAAGTCATGCAAGTTCATAGCTATAAATAAATAAAGTTGCCCATTAAGGTCAATAGGACCACTGAGTTCTATAAAATTAAAAGGTGAACAGGGTTTGCAGGATAAAGACTGCTGTAAAAGAATTCAGTCAGAAGTCACTAAGTACTCCCTTAAGGGACATACTTCTATGTTTAACAGTTACAGAGAACATTGGCATCCAAGTATAAAATGCTTGGAGGGGGATTTTATACATATAGTATACTTACATATTACAGTTGGCATAATTGCAACATAGCTTTTCCACCAGATAATTTTAAACACAACTAATAATTCCTTCCCCCCAAAATCTAATGAAAATTCAGAAAGAGCCCTTCAGCATGGGTCATTAAACATGTCACTGTGGATCAAGAAGAATTTAAGAGACTTTCAGTTTTATAATTTTCCTTTCCCAGTTTTTCAGCTTTCTTAAGGAGCTACAACATATGTTTTAGGATTATCAAATCACCGAAGTAAGGTTTTAAGTAGCAGAATCACAAATAGTACCTCTGAAATATCAAAATGAAACTCTAAAGTCTTCCCTGGTAGCTCCTTGGAGGCACTGTTCCACACTCGATGTATTTCCATTTTTGAAAGATCGCTGTGTTGATAGGATGGTAAAACTAAACTGGCAGAACGAGAGACTACCAACTTCAGGATATTCAAGGCTTCTCTCCAGTGAACGCTCTAGAAATAGGTATATTTAATCAGCAAATGGAAAGAAAGTTTCACACATGTTCAAGATAATTTACATTTTACAGTCGTATTTTTTGCTACATAATAAAACGTGCAATTGGAATATTACTACTCTTTCTCTCTCTTGGCGACTGACAAGGTACGTATTTGCAGAATAATTTCAACAGCAGAGACCAAGACTTACCTAAGGTGTCATTGTTAGGCAACTGGCCTGCAACCTGGGAGACCTGAGTGCAAGGCCAACTTGGCAAAAGATTTAAAATCTCCTACCTGAATGCCTTAATCAGTACGAACAAATATAAGGGCCATTGCAGAATTCCCATTTAACAGAAAAGCTGACTTGATACAGGCTCTTTACAGCTGTGAATACCTAGTAGAAATATGTATTTTCCACTTGCTGAGAATTAGGTGCAGAAGTCTCTGAAGGGAAGTGCTTATGCCACATCTCCCTCACACTAATAATTAAAAAGAGTGGTCAGTCAGACACTGCCTGGTATTAAGCTTGCTCCCGATGTAGCGTAGCTGCAGCCTAACCCTTCCCACACAGTGAATGCACAGCTTGGGCACCTGGGCATGCACAGTCTATGAGGCATCAGGATGTTTATGAACTAGATACCATACTGGACAGTTGCAGTCCGCCCTGCTAGTCTAGTCTTAAATTCTTATAAAGAAAATTAACGTAGGATAGTAAATACTGCTAACTTCCTATGTTAATATAAAGAAGATATAGTATTTACCTGTACATATTTTTCAATGGTTTTTAGCACTTCCATGTTAAACTGTTTCACAGGAATAGCTGACAGGTCCATATAACTAAGAAGACTGTAGATCATCTGTAAGAGGGACTGTTGCATACTGGGAAGGCCCTTTTCTAGTAGCTGTTTAAAAAAAAAAGTGAAAATAACTAAATATTGAGACTTTTCTTCTTATGGAAAAAGCTAATTGTTTCATGAATACCATTTATACTGTTAATCTCTCTTCACCCACTGATTTGGCAATGCCATTTTACAATCATTTTACAAGTGATGATGATACAAGTGCGAAGTAAAAAAGATCTTTAAGCTGGGAGCCAAATGCTAGCCTGTTTTGATAATAAAACATACATTTTAAATATGCCTGCCCTAACTTATCCAGAAAACACATTCAGCAGTTGAGTAAACTGGCAGGTAAAATTTACACTGCAATTAGGGAAGCACATCCAATAAAAACAGGGGAGTATTTTTTTTTTATTTCTACCTTTGTTGAAAGTCAGTGAGAAAAAAGAGAACATGCTGAAGAAACAAAACTACTACTATTCAGACATCAATATATATTTATCCAAATATACTTCACTGCCAGGGCTCACTGGCTGTAACTGCCAAGGAAACATTTTCTGTTGAGGAGGAGATGGAGTCCCTGGGCTCTCTTGCTGTAGAGGCTAATACAAAAGAGGGCTTCATCTAAATCCCGGAATTTTGGAACACCTGAGTGTAGATCCCGGAATACCACAATGAACCTTGGAAATGCAACTGTGCTTATATATATACATGACAGTAATTCAGGAGGCGTACAGACGTGCTATGTTTGCACATGTGTGTGAAATATCTCAGCTGAAAGGAAGGTAGCACGTTCTTTCATTGGAAAGAACATTCCTGGAAGGTAGCATGTTCTTTCATTGGTGACAGGTCTTGTCCCACCCCACAGATTTCAGAGGCAATCAAAGGTTATTGCTGGAGGTTACCAGAGGCTCAAGACTAGACTCTATCCTTCTGTTCAGGCAGACAAAAAGCTCTTCTAACACTGGTTAGTAGAGATATTAGGATCTAGAAAACAATTATTTATAAAAACTCTGTGCTGCCTCATGTCTTCCATCAGAGAAAAATTTCAACTGTTATCCAAGTGGGTCTAGTAATTTATTAGATGCCCTCTCTGGCCTGAATGACAAGACTCCTTTTTTTATTGAATGAGAAGGCTTCATGCCAACCAAAATGGAATGATCAGTCAGGACACACACCTATCTCATCCTACTAAATATCTTCTGATTTCTTTCATCAGTAAAAGTGAACAGTAATTAGTGATTCATAAAACAAAGTAGGCAAATTCTATTAACAACACAATAGATGGAACTTACTCTGCTTTATTCCTCTACAAAAAGATAGCAAGAATTTTTAAATTAAAGATCCTACATGGTAACCTGCCTCAGCCCATGGATACCTTTACTGAGAGATAAAACATGGATACCTTTACTGAGAGATAAAAGTTCTTTAGCAACTATTCTTCAAAACAGGGTTATAGACATTTTCTTGTCTTCTATTAGCATCTTGCAATGGAAGGTTTGATTCCTGCCTTGTAAATAGTTTGTATGATCCAGCACATCAGCCAGTACACCATTTCAGTGTAGGAATAAAGGACTACAAGAAACTATCTGGATGAGAGAAAGCAATTTTTTTGTTCTCTGACAGAGGCTACTGCATCAGATAATCACTTTTGTGATAGGAAAAGGAATTCTTGGGAAATAATGGGAATTTTGTCTCTATTGCTGGCTAGAAAGCTGGTCTAGCAACTTTATCTATGACAGCTTCTAATTGCCCTTCCAGTTTGTATAAATTTGTTGTCAACAGAATCCTCTGACTTGAACAGCTCTTGCCCCTTAAAGTCTAAATATTTGTGGACTGTGCCAGTTTTCACTTGTTCAGATGTGGTATATGTGGTGGTTGATAGTCCAAGTGTGTACTTATATACACCATGAATTTGTAACAAGAAAGAGTATTTCAGTTTAAAAAAAGAACAGCAACTTTAAAATGCATTTAGTACAATAAGAATTCTTTTGTTGCCAGAAGTAACAAATATAGCAGCAAGATGGAGTTGTAGTAACACATCATTTGGATCAGTGAGTTTCAGGACAAAGATTTTCCACTGTATTTGTAAGAAATCGTAACTGTTCTCAGTCAGTTTTTTCTTTTTTTTGTGACTCTGGTCCATATGAACTGTTTTGAAGAACTGTGGATTCCTCTGTGGTACCTATCCAGGTCTTTTCTGTGTTTAGGGATCCACACTCCATTAGCAATATTCGTCCCTTTCCTGAAGCAGCAACTAACCTAGAACTAAGCGGAGAGCAGAGCCTGCTCCTCCAAGGGCTGCCTTGCCTGGGCTGGCTGCTGCTGGATGCGGCTGCTGGGGTGCTACTGCAGGAGAGCAGGAGACAGTTCCCTTTGCACCTCCAAATCCGGCAGCAGGTGAGAAGAGATGCTCAGCTCTTAGGCTATGTTAGTCAGTCAAACATATGTTTTCTGTGTCCACTGAGGAAATAAAGAAGGCATTTCAGAAGCCATGTCCGATAGACAAGCCATTAGTGGGATAACGCCTGATCTAGGACATGCTTGCAACACAGATGTTTTAATCTCTAGTGGTTCCTTGGATTTGAACAGATTCTGAATGCTCATGCTTCTATCACAAGCAATCGTCTATCTAACAGGGAGAAGAAGGAAACATCTATCATGAGCACATTACTATGCACTATGTCGTTTCTTGTCCCTTCTGTGTTAATAGCATTACCTAGTAAAGTCCAAGCATGAGCCTGGACTTAATGAATCACTAGTGTAACACGTGACCTATGTTAATTCAGATATGCTACTAGAATGATTGTGCTATCATGGTACAAGGTTAATTTTTTAAAAAAAATATGCAAAAATTTAACATAAAATTAAAGTAAGCTTTCAGTAATGTGTTTGTATGCTGATTTTGGTAGGGGAGGTTCAAAGTTCTACTGCACTATTAAATAGTGATTTTTCCTCATCTGTAGACTGAGATCCCCAAGTGTTTTTCTAGAAGAAATGATCATTTTTTCATGGATGGAGATGTAATATGTAAAGCTGAGTAAGGAGCACTGCTTGCCACTGTAAAGTTTGGATAAGAAAACAGTTGAACTGTCTTATTTTATGCCAGGATCATACCCCTAGCTGACAAGCAATTATCTGCCATCAAATAGGTTAAATGCAAATTTTTGTCTGAATGGCAATAATTGAAGCTTTCACCTTCTGCTGAGAGCATTTATTCTCATAGTCTTAATAACTTGTGGTAGAAAGTCTCCTTCTGGAGGTATACCTTTGTGTTTGGAGGGGTCACTGTTGCAACACAGATTTCCTTTGTTATTCTTAAGTACTGCATGTCTCTCACCCCCAGGCCCAACACTGGGGACTGAGCCAGGATTGTTAAAGCTGGAGGCTCTGTAACCAATGGCTATAAGATTCAACTGCAGATTGCCCAGTGGGGCTGTTAACCCATTTGGCTTTACCCATTGACAGTATATCCCACAGTCAGTTTATAGGAGATAGGAGCACATTGTTTATCCTGGTCTGGGGATTAACTAAGAAGAAAAGGGGAAACATATTCTGAATGCTGGAAAAATCTTTTCCATGGCCACAGCAGGCTGAACAAGATGGTTTCTTGTCTCCTGCTCCTCCTCCAGGCTGGCAGCTACCCTATGCCCATACAAATATTCCCAGACATGATTCAACAGAGCTGCAGTCAATGTAAATAGAGAAAGGAAGTCGTGCTTACTACTCTGTCATCCTGCGATGATGGTGCTATGTGAGGAATGTGCCTTAATTACGGTCAAAAACCTGCCTGACTTGCTGTTAATATAGTAGTGTGGTACCAATCTACAGCAATGGGGAAGTGCAAAGAAAGAGTCTCCAGATGCATGTCTAAGCTTGTTTTGAGGGGAGCGACATCACATGGAATGGCCTTTATGGAGATGCTGCAGCACTAGCAACTGTACATAGAGCACTGAAGGGAAAACAGAGAGGCCGACACTTTCCTAAGGCTGGGAAAGCAAAGGAGAAAGAGTTTAAACCTCCATTTTTACAGCATTTGTTTATTAGGAATACAAGTTTCTGCTGTGAAGGAGACACTTGACTCTGGAGAATTCAGACTCATTGTGTTTGAAGAGCTAATAGTTTTTCAGGGTCTTGGAGTTTGAAAACAGACTGAAAAACCTCAGGGTCCTGTTTCAGTCTCCTCCAGGAAAGTCATGGCTTTCACCATCAGTCAAAATCTGATATGATCGTTTACTTAGAGCCTCCATGTGCAAACATGGAGCTTGAGGCAGCAGGGCCAAGTTTGCTCTGAAGTCAGAGTGAGTGTGGGAGCACAGCCTGGCCTCTCATGCTCATGAAAATCTTGTGGATAGCTAGTATCAGAGATGCCTGTGGAGTTTCTGTAGATCCTTTGGCAGAGGGGAGAATGACTCTGCTCCAAAAAACAAAGCTGCTCTAAAAAAGCTAGTGAATTTATGTCATGAATACAGAATTACCTTCTTCCTGGATGAGCGGGGAGACTGAAGGCATCTCACTACAGCATAGAAGTGAAGGGATAAATCTAAGAACTCTACAAGAAAATGGTGTCCTGATACTGATCTGACACAGAGGGCAGAAGATCAAGTGACCTTAAGCTAAAGAGCAGAATTGAGCCTTGGATCCCCAGTAACAATGCTACATCAGATCTATACTCCAGGCGTGAGAAATGTTAGGAGTAAGTGAGCACAGGGGAAAACCTGGGCAGCAAGATGATCCCATTCAGTGTTAGAGGAATGCATACAAATTGGTTATCAAGAACCAGATGCTTATATAGCACATGATATCTTATTGATGCTGCTAAAGCCCTTCTGGAATTAGTGCTTCTCTTATTTTCCTCAGTGTGATCTAAATAAATGTTGCCCAGTTTCTCTCTCTTTCGCAGTGGAAAATCTGACCGGCTGATGAGTAAAGCTGCTTTAAGATGTATCAGCCCTGCAGACCTTTGCTGGCTTTTGTTTTAGTGTTCAATATTGATTTCTTATAGTAATTCCCTTTCTTTCTGCTAATTTCTGCTTTTCATTCTTAATTATAAGTAACAGCTACAGAGAGCGCCCAGTAATCTGCAGGCAGACTTCAGCTGTTTGGGTTGTTAGGCAACAGAAGAGTTAAAACAGTAAAAAATCTTTGAAAACTTACCTCAGCCAAATATGTAACCATACTCAAAGTAATATCAGAAAATGCTTCATGAAGGTAACGGCAAACCACATTTACCCAGGTAGCACAGTCCCTTGTATAGCTGTGTGTTTTATAAAGGGTCATGACATGTGCAAGATTTGACAGCTTGGGGTTCTTCTCCTCCAAACAAACCTAATTAAATATAAATGTCAAAACACATTAAGAACAAGGCAACTGCATTTACAGGGTCTGAGGATGTACAAAACAGTAAATTACTTTGATACCTGAGCAATCCTTTCGGCTATATCTTTACAAAACTGGTTTGGGCTGTCAAAATGCTGAATTAAATGGGGCAGTAGACACAAAACATTCAGTGGAAATCCTAGAACAGGAAAATACAGAACAAAATGTGTATTTTGGACAGCAAGAGCCACAGTGATCTTCAAGTTGGTGTTTCATGGGAGGTCACCGTTTCAATATTACATTAGCTGTAAATTCACACAGACTCTGTCAAGTGTTAACGCCACTGGCCATGCCACATTTGTCTTAAAGGGGCCTTAATTTGAAAATCTAGTATATCATTTAGGCAACAGTACTGTTATAAAGCATGAACCTATTTCTGCAAACACTACTGCACAAACACGTATTATAACTCACAAAAGTATATATTTTATTCCTGTTAGACAGTACATTTATCTTTTCCACTTAACGGACTTATTGACAGTCTTAACTGGTGGCATTTTCATTACTGCTGCTAAAACACAAGAAGAAATTTAGTAAGCATTGATAAATGAAAAACTGTTTTGGTCAGGCTGCCAGGTACAGCTTCCATTGTTTTATACTGTTCACGTTAATAATAATAATAATAATTAATCAAAATTCTGATAGAACTGGTCAGATGAGACTACTCAAATGGTATTTTTGAAGCTAGGAGATGGCTCCTGCACCAAGTGCCAGCTGCTGTCGTTAGCATAAGGGCTTTGTCTGGAGCTGGGATTCAGCTCTTCTGCACCTACTCATAGATAGCTGATGAACTACAGACAGCGACTGTAACTGGGAGCTGTAACAAAAGCTGCTCCAGTTCAGGTGGGAGCTCAGAGCTCAGAAGTCAAGAAATTGTATCTGGACACAACCTGTTTTTTGAAAAGAAAGAATCTAATCCATGAAAATAGCTTGCTAACCATTCACTCCCTCTTGTTCTACACAATTAAACAAGTCGCCTAAGACAGGAGCGTAATTTCCCCAGGCTTCCTCTATACTCAGGGAAAAGGAAAAGATACCTCCAGATGGTACCGTCACAGCCCATGTGTGAGTTGCCCAGCTGAAGTCTGGAACACAGGCACCACACAGGTGCTTAAGAGATGGGCAGGCTGTTCATGGCATTCATCCCCTTACTCTGTGTCTAAGCTTGTTATGACTTAGTTGTGAAGCCTGCACAATTGTATTAATATCTGTGTTTCTGACTGAGACAGAGGAGTAAATATCTGGAACAATACAGAAACTCTCTTCAAGAAATATAATTAAGAAGTGGTCACAACCTCTAATTAGTCACAATTAAATAATTGGGAATTTCAAAATGTTACCTTATTTCCTTATAATCCAGGCCTCTCCTCCCTCACTAATGTGCTATTGTAGTTTATCTAAAAAGTGTACATGAATTTTCAATATTTATATTTCTAGCAAAAATCCCATGAAGCACTAATTTAAAATAAAATAATTTGTGATATTCTGAAAATAATTCAGTGGAAATACTAGCCAAAATAGGTTCTAGAAAATTTCACAGTATCTCCTTACATATGTTTATTTTTTCAGCACTCAGAAACTTTATATGCTGCTAAGCACTAGAAATGAAATGTGAAATAATACATGACCGCTTTCCTCCAAAACCTTATTGTGCAATAGATTCACTTTTCAGAAACATGTTATATTGCTATGGAATTTCCAAAAAGCCCACCCAACTCAAAGCAAAAGTACATTATGCTATATTAGAAGAGAAAGAATAAATGCCGTTTTTGGTTTTGTGCAGATAGCCTAATTCTGTCATCAAATGTCAAAGCAATGGAAACTGAAAGAGAGGAAAGTACACTGGTTTTACCTATAGCTTGAGAGGAATCCACCATGGATATTCGGGAGACTGGTGTCAGCAAACTAAAAAGCTGTAGTGTGAGATCAGTGGTAGTAAGGGAGGTGAATCCTTTCAGGAGTAGCTGCTGAAGCCCTGAGAAGTCTGCCCACTTCAGCTGCCCTTGCAACTTCTCTAACTTCTCCCGGTTTTCAGCTTTATCTAGCGGCAAATGAGCCAGAAGTTTATTCAGTAACCGCAATGCCATTAGATACTCAAACTCAAAATCTGACTCCATCAAAGCCACAGCAACCCAGAAGATGGTGGCCAGTAGGTTGGTTGGATTGTTAATATGGGATGGGTCAGTGAGACTGTCCTTTAGAGAAGATGAACTTCTGGTTTTAGAGGACAGGCCTTGCTGGGTGCATGCCTGAATTCTGTCTAGTGTGGCACTGCGCGGTGGGTCTGAGGACTTGTCCACATCTCCAAACTTTTTGGGTACAGAGAAGCTCCTCTGGTGCCTGCTTCGTTCAGCAGTGGCTGTGTTACCGCTTGCAGGATTCACATTCAGCTGTCCTGTGCTCTTCCGGTTTGCAGTCAGTTTGGTGCTTGATGTTAAATCTGGTGAAGATGAACTGAACCCAAAATATACAACATACATTGCAATGTGTGAATGCACAGCTTGAAACTTGTACATATTGGATGCAAGTTATGTATTTATCAAACTGTAAATAAATATTTAAATAGGAAAAGTAAAACAACACACTGTCTATTGCAGCCCATGTTTTTTTTCAGAAGTGCCCACAGACATGACTGAAGTGAGGTTCATGTGGCACTGCACCAAACCAGAGCAGGATAGTCTACAGTCTAGTTAAGAACAACATGGGGATAAAGGATACAGAGCTGTGAAGTGACTTGTGGAAATGCCCATATAATGGGGCAGTGGTGGAACTGAAAACAATTTTGGTCTTTAAAATGCTCTCATCGGTGGAGCAAACCCCAAACTTGGCACAGCCATCAGGCAAAAGGCTCAATGGCTTACTGGCTAATGTGAGAACTGTGGAGAGAAAAACCAGTGTATCTTAGGCAGAACCACAAATATGTCACATTATCCTCAAGAAACCTGTCATGTGGCTGCTTAGGTTCTTGCTAGTACAGGTCCTTCAGAAACCTTGTCACTGCATCCTCCCCTGCCTGTATCCTAAGATCGCTTCAAGGTGATTTACAGAAAGTGGAGGTGTTTCAATTTCAGTGACTGATGCCTCCTCCTGGACTATCACGTGATGATCCAGACAATCCCTATCAATTATCTGCAAGGGAAGTTTGTTCTGGACAACAGCTAATTCCTGACTCTCTGGTCCCACTCCTACCTCATACACTATGAGTCCCTACTGTCTATAATACTTGAAGAGGATCTTATGGAATCAATAGTGTCAGGGTAAAGAATATTGCATCCCACTGCTTTCTGGAGTGTTTCTTATTTTCTGCTCCATCTTGCTCTTTCCTGAAATGTGCACTAAAGAAAGATAAATAGCTCTTAGTTTAGAAAGTAGAAGCTATATTTCCCCACCTCTACTCTGTCACTGGGCAATACTTGTGTTCTACCATTGCAGTATATTACATAGCACCCTGACTACTAGTTTCAGAAATGATAGACCTTGTATTTTTGTTCTGCATGTAAAGCATGGTAACTTACGGACATTTTTCAAATATGTTCCCTATTCTGTTGTTGCTATTAGGAATCAGATAGACATTAATCTCCCTCAGTACTGTCAACAGCTGTGTTACAGAAGGAGCCTGCAATTTCCTTCCATGTATGAAGGTCTACTTTAAGGCCAAGAGTTGCCCAAAGATGATCCACGCATCTGGCAAAATCCATGGGTTATGTATACATGGGACAAAATTCTCCCTAGTTTTATTGAGAAGAAAAACCATGATCATTTACTTCTTGGGGAATGCTTCATCTGAGAACAACAGGTTGTATGAAACCAATATTCCAAAAACCATGTTTCTTCCCAGATATTTTTTCAAGTATACGGTACAAACGTGAAAAATATACAGTATTTTTAAAGGATGTTAAAGTAAGTTATAGCCAAGTGGCAGCAAGGCAGAATTTACAATGCATTGTAAGGTTCCATTAGTTCTATGAACATTTCCACTACTGCAAAATTTGGCTGAGATGTACTCTTAGACTAGTTCTCTGAATGTTACAAATGAGCTCAGTCTTATAAAAATAATTTTATGCTGCCAACTGCAGAACTGCACCCTTAACATCATGAGACACTGAAAAAAAAGATACAGTTAGGAGAACAGGCTCTTACCGTGACAACACCGTCAAGAGATCACTGTTCTTCAAACAGTCAGACAGATTATCCACAGCAGCTTCCAAAGTAAGTAGTGCCTCCATTACATACCCCTATCAATGCATGAGATTAACCATTTCAACAAAGACATTCAAAACAGTGAACATTTAAAAATCTGCAGTTCATAAAAGGAGTAGACATCTAATGAAAACCTGTAATTTCTCCTGAAAAAAGAACATTCACATCAATGCCACTGCCCTGAACATTAAAATGTCACTACAAATGTGTTTTATTTTCTGCCTCTGAATGATCTATGAAGGCATGCAAGAAGGGCACGTATCTCATCAGGGGACTGGTAATGGCATACAGAACCTCTGACTTGCAGGTCACCAATTTAAATTCTACACAAGCAGTTGTGACAGAATATTACTGTCATCTTGTGGCAGTTTCATTACCTAAGTAAAATATGGATGTGATGTCAGTCTATTTCTTATTAACAGCTAGTAGTTCTCTATTAAGTCTTGAATCCTGCAATAAATAGTCTTTGACTGTAAAATTTCAGGAGAGATCAATCTGTTTAGCTAAACCAAGTGAACATAAGAGAGGACTGGATCAAATAAGGTCAGCATAAGTTTTGTATTGTTATGGATGGTGTGGATTTCTTTATTCCAAAGGATGTTAACATTTGAGAAATGAGGTGGTGTCTACTTCACATTGTCAGACTACACCAGCAGATAGGATGACGGATTCCTTAAGCACAAATTAATGATGTGAAAAGAGAAAAAAATGGTCATCACGGAGATTTCATTTTGAGTGACATTTACTAGATGTTTTCTAGTTGTTCTCTTTAGAGCTATATAAGATTTAACAGCCTGATGAAGGCTTTGATAAGGTACATATGGATTCAGTAAACTCAGAGGTAACCTCTTCTAAGGCCACATTCTATTTTGCATCACTTGACTCCAGAACATCTTGTTAAAATGGTAATTTTAAATTAAGTATACATTAAATCAACAGTACTAAGAAGCATTATGTATACATGCATACCTGAATCTCATCTCCATGCTCTCCAATAACTTCCACCAATCTTGACAGGAGGTCAGACAATGCATGTGCAGAAAGGGGCTGCTTTAGGGCCCTGAATATCTGGAAAGAGCGACCTGCATAATGTCTTGAAGAGCTTGAAAGAGCTGTTTGTAAAGCGACTTCACTCAGATGCTGCTCCAAATGAAAACCTAAGCAAAAGAATAGTATGTCAGTTGGGTTTTTTTTAATGACAGACTTTCCTGTGGGTCATAAACAGACTGAACCAACTCTGTAGGGAAGATATGCACTGCAGTGTGTCCTGCAAACTCTGTGAGAAATGGAGATGCAGAAATGTCTGGGTTTGGGAGAATTTCCTACTGTTTACATTTATTTCACACAGAACGTAAGAAAATAAACTGCAAAACCAAAATTCTGAGTCTGCAAATGTTTGTCAGCAAAAACCTGAAATTCCTCATCTGATTTAATTTTTTTTACAATTCCTGGACAAACTTTCAAGCCATCCACTATTCTTGCTGGCAGCAACACAGTAACTTCTGAACACTCCCAAACCTAAAGCCAAGCTGAATTAGGAGTCTTTCTATTAGCTTCAGAAGGCTTTGCGTAAGATCTTAAATATGAATACTGATGCTGCATTCTGCTTTGATCTTGGAAGATATTTAATTAGTGACTGTGTTGGTTTTCAAAATACGATCAGTACATTTCCTAAGCTCTAAAAACATAATAAATTAAAACTAAACTTTAGTTTCCAGAATAAATTTAACAAAGTTACATTTACTTAGTAACTGTGATGTATTTTACCAACAGGACATAGAGGAGCTTTTATCTGGTAGCTTTTATCAATCAAAAGGCTTTCTACCAACAGCTTTGAAGAAATGTTCGATTTAACATTCAGCGACAGTCCAATCTAACATTTTTTAAAAGCAATTCTTTCATATGTCATACATCCCTGTTAAGACATATGTCATGCTTCTGCATAATTGCAATATTCTGCAATATGTCATGCTTCTGCATAAGCAGATCTACTCAGTCACAAGATAAACATTCAGTGTGACCTTGAGGGAATATTCTTTTAATTATGCAAGGAAAAAAATTTACTACCTGACTTGGAATCTTTAAATACAGACACAACATGACGCAGAAAATTAGTAAGCTGTTCTGCACTCTTGGTGTTCTGATTTTTGGGTGTGATATCTTCATGGCACCAAAGTGGACCAAATGCCCTTAAAGAAATACATAACAAAGTGCAAAATTTCTTTGAGTTACCTGAAATAAATGTAATCAGTTAAAATATATAAACTGTAAAGGCAATTAGTTATTTCCAGGGCCATAGCCCGGAAAACATGCAACTGACCAGAACTTTATGAGCAAAATACAAGTAAATAGATATTCCTATGCTGTATTTTACATAACGTCTCTTTTAAAATATAAGTTATACCATTTAGAGAGCAGCATAAACAAATCCCTGGTTTTTAATTTAACATTGCATCTAGGATCTGCTGACTGTAGTTGGTAGTTAATGTCAGTTTCACCATGGCTTTTCACTATGCGCTGTGTACTTCTTGTCTAATTTTGTAGTAATAAAATGGTCTTCTTCCATTATTTCATTGTTGAACATAATACTATCAGTCAATTAAACATTTTATTCCTGTCAGGCAAGATTTTTTCCTGTTGTTCCTGACACTGTAGTACTTCTAAGTACCTACCTACCTTGTAAGTATCAGTAAAGGAGGAATGGGAGTCTATAATTACTATAAAAACTCGTCATCTTCCTTTGAGTCTTTTAAGTTGCTACAGATAATTGTAAAGAAGACATGAAAGATGTATTTTGAGTACGAATGTATCCTCCGCTTATCTCCATTACCTGGTTGTCAGAAACTCAATTAATTTGTTTGCTTTCTCATCTGTTTCAGCAGCAGTGTCCATGTCCTCAACCTCTTGTGTAATCTGTGGGAGATTTCCACTGCTGCCTCCCAGACTGATACTGGAGGAGGTGGAGCTGGAGCTCAAGCCAGAGTCTGGCACCGGAGACGACTGGTATTCCCGCAGAAAGTCAAAGCCACCTGCCAGCAGAAAGGAAGGCGATAAAGATGGAATGCACTGTTGGGCCAGCATTACAGATGAAAGCACCCACCAAGCAGCTCTTTTCAGAGTCAGCTGCAGAAACCTTCTACTGGGAGACACAGGGAAAACATGCAGAACACAACCCTCAAACGCCGATAGGTGTGAGAATGGTACTCTGTTTCTAAATGTGTAGAATCCAATATAAAATGAAAAATACTAAAGCCAAGATATATATATATTTTTTACTGCACAAGGGCTACAGGACTTGAAAAATAAATGTTTCATGGCATTTTACAATCAGAACTATGTCTGTCTGTAAAGTGAATTTTGAAGTTGGCTAAGTGCATGCAAAGTTCAGCTCACTTATCTGGGCTAGTCTGGTGAGGAAAAAAACCTGTGCAGGGCAGAATTTTTAGGACAAGGATGTTGTCCTAATTTTACAAATGTAATGGAACTGGAGACACAAATGTTTCAGGCTTCTGTTCAACACCTTTAGTAACTGTAAACACTGGACTACTCATACTAAATATTTTCAGCATGAAGGTTAAGTATCTGAGTAAGAGTTGTGCTAGATCAAAAGCTTGCCACACAGCTTCAGAGCTGGAAGTAGAAACCGAGACCTGTTTTCTTACGGTTAGATTGCTAGTCATCATAGGCTGTATCTACAACAGAAAAAGTGGCCTTGCGAGAAGAGTGGGAGCAGGAGTGGCCTCTCTACTGATAAAATCCATTGCCGGTCACGAGACTCTTAATTTAGTTGCCTGACATTATGCGGAATGAACCCGAGCCAAAGTATTTTCAATTAGCATTTTTTGCTGTAGCTGTTCACCCACACTCTCACTCTTTATATTAGCTGATATAAAAAGAATCCAAATACAAAATTTTGATAACTCCTTGGACTTAAGAGGCCCAGACACAGGGTACCAATTATGTTTTTCAGAGACAGGAATGAAAACAGATTTTCATTTTGGCAGAAAAGCAGTAATATAATTTTAATGTAAAGATTTTATTCTGTAATTAATAATTCATGGACATGCACTGGAAAAGAGATCTACACAACTCAACATGGAAAATTCACGTGTGAGGTAATTTTGCATGGACTTTATTCAGAATGAAACCTAAAAAGACCAAATTAATTTGTTGATCTGAAATACATATCCCTTCTTCTCATTACTTTAAAATACTTTTTGTATCTCATAAAAAACAGTAATCAGTTATCAAGTAATATTCTTTATAAAGCCAAACTATTTATTACTTCTGGTTATATTCCTAAGGAACCACAGAAATGCCACTAATTTGCTTATCTCTCCTTCTCATTTCTCACTGGTAAAGTTCCTCACCTGCTCCCAGACAATTAATCGTACCTCCATAACTCTACAATGGTTCTGTGATTCCTTCAAATGTCAACAGTATGCTTGCTTTTAAGTAATATTACATGATAATAGTAAATCTAGCTAGCTGCTTTCTACAAATTGTTCCCAACCAAACCCTTAAAAACAGGTAAATTGCTAAAAGTTAACAGAACACCCGTCTTGGCAGAGGTCTGAAGTAAGCCTCCCAGTGCAGAAACAGATTTCAGGACAGAAATGAAGTGCATCTGTGATATAAAGGAGGGTGTATATCATGTGAAATTTAACTTAATAATGGAAAATCTGAGCTGCATATTCTTGCTGCTCTTCCTGTGTTGGAATTACTTATTCATTTCTTTTAAAGGCTGAGCAGTGATTGCCCTCATTTAAAGCAGTCCTGGCTCCCTGAGGGAGGAAGTTAGGAAGTTATTAGCCGTATTAATGTTTAAAATTCTACATTATATATTTTGCCTTACATCAGATAGCTTTCTCACTATCATGAAAAGTTATCTAATAATAATTTGGGTGCATCTCTAGAGTAGTTCACATGGAATTAATGGGAACTGTTCATATTTTCCACTTCACCACTTTAATTTATCAAAACCGTTATATTTTAGGAAAGTAGCCTTGACATCCTACTTTCAAAAACCTCACAGTATAATGCAATGTTCTTTTCTTCTTTTGCTTTATTACCTGTATAAAGATATTCAGGTAAGTATGCTGGTTGTACTGTCAGAGTCTTGGTCTCATTCATCTCTCTGGTCTGAAGAAGCACTGATGCAATGGCTTGATAATTGCTATTGCAAGATAATGCAATCAAAAGGTGAAGCAGTAACTTTTTACTGTGTTCAAAGACCTCAGGCCGGTAGTGGTCAAGACCTAAAAGAAAAGGTTACAGCAATCATTGAATATGAAGTAATAATAAACAAGTTCACATTCCAGAAATAGCAAAAATTCCAAGGCAGTTCATGGCAACAGTGCAAACAAATAAAAGATGCAGTATTTCCGGACATAGTTACTAGTGTTTTTACTTCAAATGTATGTGTATGTTTAGTTTCCAGACCGAGGTCCCATACAGGTGGTACAAAACAATGTGTCGCAATACCACTTTATGCATTTTGTCTCACTGCAGTGTTAATTTGACAGGGCTGGAAAACCTCTAAAGGTGAGAAATTCTTGGTGGTGGTTGTAATTACATTGCTTAACTCAGTATCTGGCATTCTTGCACAGACATCAGTTTTACAACTAGTGCAAACTGTAAGAGGTAGATACTGATTTATTAAGAAAGGAACTGACAAACAAAATCCCCTGAAAAAGAACTGAAGCTACCAGTGAATAGCATGAGAAATTAGCCACTAGTTCAGGGTGCAGAACTGAAACCTAAGGTCTAGCACTGAAAGACTCTGATCTGGTTAGCACTACTGATGTTTGTAAGATTTTAACACAACCTGAATAAATCACAAACTACAAATATAAAGGACGCTGATGTTTGTAAAATAAACTGCACTCTGGGGTAGCAATCTCTTTTTGATTCTCTTTCAGTACCTTCCAGGATATTTACAAATACTTTCTTCTGTTTAGGGGCAGTTTCAGGGCTGAAAAATGGAATTGTAGTTTTTCTTCAGCTCCTCTCTTCTCACGACATATTGCTCTTTAAAAAGCAGCTCCTTCATTAGTCTAAGAGTCAGCAGCCAACAGGTCTTTTGTCTTCTGTCAGGTGTTTTCTAATGTACTCCAGTCACTCCTGTTCTTGTCTGGCCTGCAAAAATGAATGGCTCATACTGCCATAGTCTGAACAACGTGTCTTTGGCTCCTATGGGCAGATCTTTGGAGGTCCTGTGATCCTTGGTCTTACTCATCTGCCCATAGCCTCCTCCAAAAGAACCACGGCCAACCTGCCCACCTCTTTTTCAGCTTCTTCAGGTTTCTGCTATTCTTTCTCCATTTCCTTCCACCTGCCAGGAGATAGTGAACCCATCCTACCCTGTTCTAACATACACCAAAAAGGATATAAAAAGTTCTTTTAGTTGAAAATAAATTCTGTATTGGCAGTACTTGTGATGGAAATCCTGTTAAACCCTAGGGTTGTATGAAAGTATTGACATAGATATGCTAACTACGAAGCGAGAAAGACAGTTCAGTCTTTGTGCTTGTCTGGTGCTGGGCCGTTCTTTAACTTGGAAGAGTTCCCAAGAAGGTAAACTTCTGTGACATGGACACATTTCCAAGGGAAAGGAGTCTTAGCTGCTCAACTCATTCCACACTGGTTGCAAAAGTGCTTTTAAGCAGCAGTGATTTTCATGCACTACTGAGATAGGCAGGTTCACACCAGCAGTCTGCCTCTCTACTTCACTATTAGTACTACAAATACATTAAATATATTCATTGCAAAATTCTTTCATTTTAGTATTTTCTCACTCCTTCCAATAAATGGAAGGATACAGGCTCTCCAGCTAGCCACCATACCAGTTTCCAGTTTCCTTTTCGGTCAGAAGCACCTGCCTGCTCACATTCCAACAGGACAGAAATACTTCATTTTCAATCACATTCATACCTTTGGCTAACGTGTAGCGTAACTTCCTCACACCGTCACCACAGAACTTTACTACAAAATATAGAAAAATTTTCCACAGGAGGTGTAACAACTCCAGAGAAACTGAACTTGAAGTCTGGAAGCTGTGATCTCATTTTAGTTAACACTAAACCAGTTACACTTAGTTCCCAGTTACATGTAGCTTTAATTTCACATTTGAAAAATGAGAGTTCTTAGCCAAGGGACTGTCTCCAACGGTATTTCCAGCGATCTGTGTCCTACCTTCCTTATCTCTGCAGTACAGTAATCTTGGCTCTCTTACATAATAAAGGCAAGAGACAACACCGGTGTGTGTAGTCCAGGTCTAAGGCATGTGTTGACTGCCCAGCTGCCCATCACAAACCAGGCTGTACAAAGGCTGAGTTGTGCCTTCCTTTCTCGTGGCGGGGGCTATGGGTTTTTTAGAGACATTTTAGGAAGCCAGTTTCAAATTTCTACCCACCTCTCAAATTTGGGTGAAATTGGCCAAAATATTCAAAAGCTTCAAAGTTTTGAGACTAATTCACAGACTGTAATTGCCTCAGGCTTTTTTTTTTTTAAGGAAATCGTATTTAAAAACATGTAAGAAACACAACTCTACGGCTTCAGCAAAACTAAACCAGAAGGACAGGAGTACATTTATACTTTACTTCTTGTTCTGTTGGTCTTACCTAAAAAGAGAGCATGTAGCAATAAAGGGAGGTGAAGAGCCCAATCTTCTCTCACACTGTGATCCACTACCATCTCAGTCATGAAGATGACAGCAATATTGCACCTGGAAATTGAATCACATTATCAGTTTGCAACCTCTTGGAGATGGGAAAACAGTAACAAGATGGCTATTTCTGAAGAAACAACCAACCTCTATATATCTGAATTTGTAGCATTTCTTCCCAATATGATTAACGCTAAAGCACCTCAGTTACAGTATTAAGCAGGTAAGTACCCATTACTGAAAAGAACACTATTACTGTCAATACAAATTATGTAAAAGAGGAATTTCAGAATATGCATAGCCTAGTTAGAATAAAAGATCAAGGGGGGAAAAAGTGCTATGAATAACAGCCACAGAAGCTTGGGAAAGAGAAATTTTCCTTTTCTGTTTTAGCTGTTTCTTCAGTTTGATTCTAATCAGAAAGTGGTGTCCCATATTGTAAATAGGCTTTCTGGTAGAAATCTGGTAGAACTGTAAGCCTTTGTTGCATGTTGATTTTAGCACTGGAAATCAGCAGAAATCAAAGGTATGATTTTCAGATGTTCTGAGTGGTGGGAATATTGGATTGGTGTTGGTCAACCAGTAAGAGTAAGCATCCCACTGTCTGAAATGTCAGAATGAGAAACTGCTCACCTATGAAGGGGTCCTCGGGGTGTGATGGTTTCTGGGAGGTAGTCCACAAGTGGTGCCCAGCATCCTCCATTGTAAGGCATGGGCAGGGGATGTGGTTGTTTGGTTTCAACAATATTCAATAACCAGCTTGTATATGGAGAAACAGGATCATCTGCGTGGAAAAGGATTAAAACAGTGCATAAAACCCAAGTCTGGTTATCCATTTTGGAGAAATAATAAAATAGAGTTTATGCTAACATAACGGCTCAGCTGTTTGGAATAATGTGATAAGATGACATGAGGTTTGCAAATTCCTGTGTTCAATAACAAGTGATGCATTTTTAATCTCTCTTTCACACTGCTGGAAATTAAACAGATTCCAGGCAGACAGCACTGAATGGTCGGAGCTGCAGCTGAATCCCTGCTGTCACTTAGTAGCTTTGGATCCAGAACACAAAGCACCAAGCAACAGACTTTCTCTTAAGAAATGAGAGAAAAGTTCAGCTAACGAAGCTGCTGTCGGAAGCCATCTGCTGCAAGAAGCCGCATACCAGTGACACATTCTTGCAACTCCTCACCAGTGCCCTGCTGAGTGATGCTACAAAGGCAGAAGCTAAATGTCCTGAGTTGGGAAGGAGGCATAAGGAATGCAAAAAACCATCTTTGGGGTAATTTTCTTTCAACAGGGACGAATTATGTCTTGAATTTCTCAAAGATGTATTTAACTTTGCTTCAGTATGACAGCTGCTGTATATTAATAAGCAGTAGGGTTTTTTCTTCCACCTGTTTATCTGCAATGATGTGGGTCAAGTAAGTTATTTTCACCACTTCCAGTCTTTCAGCTGCACAGCTTTGTTCACCTCTCCTGTATTTTGTTCCCTCTCATTCTTCTTGATTTTCCCATTGGTCAGTTTTTATTTCCCAGGCCTGGCAGTCTGTGACACACTGCCATGGAAAGTATCCTTTCCAGACCTGTTCTTGACATATACCCCAATATTGCCCTTTGCGCATTTTTAATAAGAGCATTATTTTTAGCTCTGTTTTTTTTTTTTTGTTACACTTTTGTATTTTAGGTAGGTTTGAAATTCTCAGCACTTTCCTTTTTTTAGCAGCACTTATCTGATTCTTGTTGGCTTTGCCACAGGAAACAAAACTGGTTTGATGCCTACAAAAGTTTAAGAGCTAGCTTTTCCTAATGCACATCACTTCTTGGTTTTGACAAAATGTCTTCAGGTTTCCAGATCATCAGGATCCCTTCAATGCAATAGCTGCTCCTCCAATTATTACTAAAATGCCAACTTTATCATTCTCATTTTTCAGTGTTAGTCTTCCAAGGAGCACTTTAGATCAGTATGATTTAGACCTCTACTTATTTCTTCTGGAGGATGATTTATTAGTTACAGATAAAGAAGAATAAACTGACCTAATAATGTACCAAGTATAGCATTGTCACACATTCATCTTCTAAGGATTAACCAGATAATGTTTGCCAGATGCTTTTCACATAAAAAGCACTGCACAGTCACTACTTATTACTACCATTTTAAGTGTTTCACATAAAACTGCTTCATGAAGTCTACACTAAAGACCTACCTCCTCACTCATGTTTTCACAGGTTTATGTGAAGAGTGAGAAAAAAAAGAAGCACTTTGCACCTTAACATACAATCTTGGCCTGAACAAAAGAGTTTCTGTGCTGTAGAGCTGTGTTCCCTATTTATATCCTCAGCAATACACATATGCTCAAGTAGACTGGAGAGAAGAGAGAAGCCATACCATCAACTCCTTTGCAGCCTGGGCTGCCTGCCAGAGGGAAAAAGTTGCACTTTCTTAATGGGGTTGCATTATTTATCTTGTAGAATGACAAATGGTATAAGAATTACTCTTTCTTTTTAGAGTTTTATATAAATATCAGTAGCTAAGTAAAATGTATTTTATTTTACATCTAGGTATTCATATATTTGCAAAAGAAACCCCTGTGAGAAGCAAACCTTGCATAAATATGCACAGTACTATAAAGCTTGCAGGTACAGGCAGGAAAAAACATTTGGGCACTGGCTTGAGGAGACATTCCAAAAGAGCAAAGAAAATTTCAAGATTTTTTAACCTCTTATTACTCTAAGCTCTTGTCAAAACCAGATACTTGTGAAGAATGTTCTGGTAATATAAACATCGTTCTGCTTTGAAAGATTATTCATGCAGATCAGATTAGCACTGGAGCTCCAATTAACATCTGCTGAAGAATTTTTAGTAGCTGCAGCACTAGAAAGCCATAAGGAAAAACAAGAAAAGTGTACTAAAACCCGCTGAGTTTAATATGTTGCACACTTCTTTGTGTATTTAAATACTGCAGTATGTACATACAGAATATTCTGTAAATATTATGCTTCATAATTATCAAAAATAGTTGTTGATATACATTAAATTATCCTATTGTATTGTATTTGACAGTGTTTCCGTATTTTGCAGAAGAGTATTGCCAAAAATTACTTGGATTAAAGAATATATAAAATCTTTACTTTCTATGTCAAAATATAGTCCCAAAATGGAGTCCGTAGCACCAAGACAAGACATTATGGCCTCTATATTATTTGACCTGGCTTTATTAAGCCAGAGATGAAAGTCAATAAAAAGGTCTTGCCTTTTTTACATTTGGTTAGGGCCTAACTGAAATCTGTAGATTGGTTTCCTTACAATTCACTCCAGAAATGAAGTCAAAGCATCCAACTCCTAAAATTTACACTGTCGTTCAACAGTTAACAGAAATACCTTGGTTTTCTTTGGAATCTCTGCTGAGCATCAAGTGACCATTTATAGTACGTTCAGCAGAAATACATAAAGAGCAACAAGCGTGCTCAAGAGCCCTATCTCACTCTCCCCTGTAACACAGGTTTGCACAGTGCAGCCAGAAACTGGTTGAAGACAGCAGAGAAAAGCTAAAGAGGAGATAAGACCTCATTTTCAGAAACTGCTGAATCTTTATGCTCATATAACATCACTTGATTTGGAGGGAAATACTAGAGAAGGGCACAATTCAAAGTACTCGCTGTAATGCTCTTGGAAGTCTTTCACCTTGCCATGTACAAAAGGTTCAAGGTGTTACTGTCCAAAGGATTCTCTGCTGCTGCTTTCTCTGGCCTTTAAATAGGTTTGACTGAGCCCAGATTAAACAAAGGAAATTAATTAAATGAGGTATGAAGGCAAAGTAAGGATACTCCCTCTACGGTGATGCTACATTACTGTTTATACAGAACTTAAACAGAGAGCCTCCACCAGTCATAAGAATGTTTTCCACTCCCACCAAAACACCAGAAATTTCATCAAATTGGATAATAGAACTTACTTTTGTCATCATCATAAGATCCTCCGGAGCTATTACTGTACCTTGATTCTAGTCGGGTATGTGCTCTGATTACATTACTGAACCTTCAAATACAAGAAAAATCTTCATTAAAACACAGGCTGACATTAAACATCTGGACTATATGCTTACTCTACAAAAAAAGCATTTCCTCAAGCATGCACATTTATACAGGAGTAGACAGCAATGTGAATGTAATGCTGTTTCTTTCCACAAAAGAAGATTTTTGCAGCCAGTTTCTGAGAAGTTCTAACAGTGTGCTCCTGTGTCACAAGCTTTTAAAATTTAGCAGAGGGAAAATTCTCCTGCTGCAAATGTGTGATGCTCTTGAAGCAAGAAACTGTGCAAAGGCTGAACTGAGATATGAACTGTTCACAGCTAGTATTTTGTCACAGCCCATGTTCATGGGTAAAATTCTGACAACCTGCTAAAGCAGTAACTGACTGAATAGTCCAATGTCAAGCCCGCGCAGGTATCAAGCAGCAAAAGCTGCAGCAGATCACCCTTCGATAGAAAAATCCAGCAACTGCCAGAGCAGATCTGGCAGAGGAGTTAAGGGATATGAGAGCCAGAACAAACTGTTCACAGCTGTCCTCAAATCTGCCCCTGATCCACGATGAGCTAACTTTTACTGGTGATCTCCCTTAGCTTCCTCCACACCTCCTTGTGCTGTTGGTGTAATCTGGCCTGAAGTGGACTGAGAGGAGCCTTACTGGAGGCTCTATGCAACATGCAGTTCAATTTCTTACTAATGTGCATACATATTATTGCAGGGTATCTAATTATACATTGACATATTATGCTGTTTCCAAGGCATGTCTGTCTCATAAGGACAAAATCAATTCATTGTAGAGGTGACAAAAAGGCATCATGAGCCATCTTAATTCTGCCATTTTCTGTCTTTCCAGTATCTGATTCTCCTATATTTTAATAAATTCCCTTAATAAATGTGTACAAACTGAGAATTACTGACATATTTATCTGGCATAAAAAAAGACAAAAGAAGAATAAAGTTAAGGAAAAAATTATGAAGAAATATGCAGAGATGAATTCTATCCTGTATGAAAAAAACGGAGAATACAGGTCATCGAAATTATTTGAGAGCAGGGCATTTTCCATTACATTGCATCAACACAAAAACATAGGTATCTTCTGATTAGCTTTGCATTATTAAAAAAAAATGCCCACATTTACGAGAACAGTTTGTTTACAATCTATTACCTTCTGTAAACATTATTTAAAATGTCTTGACACATGAAGTCAATATTAGCAGACATTCTAAGATTGACACACTGGTTTTGAAGTGCAGATGCACTTAGAGCTTCTAGTGTCTTTGATAATGTAAATGCCAGCAATGAATTAAGGCAAATTATTTTACATTTTTTTCCAGAG